TGCTCGGCTAGTGGTGTTAAGGCGGCAGGGGACCTGGCGCTATCCACCTCGTCTAGTGGTGTTAGATGAGATTGGGTGGGGTCTGAGTGAGTGTTGATTGTGGATCTCTCGGTCTAAGCCGGGTCGATTCTGGGATTGACAGGGGGTTCAGGTTGTTCTACTATATAGGCCTTCTGCAGTTTCGGTAGCGGCTTCTGTGCCTTATGTCCTTCTTGTGTCGATCGTTCACCGCTGGTTGGGCTTGTTCTCTCGTCGGGGAAGGGCTCAGTTGTTTTTGTTTATTTTGTTATGTTGTTGTTTTTGTCTTTGTGTTGCCATTTTTATGTGTTTTGTTTTGTTATGTGCTTTAGGCTGGGCCGTTGGCCCCTGTGAGCCCGTCTGCGTACAATTGTTTCCTCGTTTGGGGCCGTTCCTCATTACCTCGTTTAGGGTCGTTCCATATCACCCCGCTGGGGTCGTTTTTATTTTTGTCAATGTCGCTGGTTCTTGTGTTGGTGTTTGAGTCGTTTTCCTTCTAGCCTTGCTAGCGATTCTAGGCGGACCTCGGTCTAGCCTCCAAATTTGTATTTTCGCACTTTTGTGCGCTTATCTATAGTACTTCTATCGTTCCGGCAAAAAAAAAAAAGGATTAACTGTTGGTTTGTTATCGACAATAAGCAAAATGTGAATTGCTAAAAAAGTTATAAGATTATTATAATTTATAAGTACATGTAAGTATTTTGTATACAATCATTATATTTAGATGTTACACTTTTATAATATTTTTATAAATAATAACTAATAAAATTCGTACATACAAAAGTAAATTGGATAAATAAAAATTAAAATATTTGGATAAATAAAAATGAAAATATATAAATAAATATTATAAACTTATAGACTTTATATTATCTAAAATAATTTAATAATATTTAAATATAAATTATTTTTATACTATATCCCTTGCATCGCACGAGTAGCAACACTAGTGGGTAGTTATTAGTGAATTCTGAGTTTATATAAAATAATATTGAAAATTAAATAATTAAAATTGATTTAATGTAAAAGTAGGAGAGAGATGATGATATGAATTGATTGTTAGTTAAGATTATGTGAGTAGATAAATAGTGAATTAATAAAGTTGATGTGGTGTATGATGGGATTATAATATAATATTCAAATAGAATTCCAACGGCAATTCCAATATATATTTCAATGCTAATATTTCCCCTGAAAGTTCTAATGGATTCCAACGAATATTATAACGAAAATATTTCGTTGACATGAGATATCCATTGGATTTTGACGATTCTAACAGTTGAAATATTAGTGAAAATGGAAATTCCAACTAAAATTGTATATTCCAACAAAAATTCTTACTTAAAAAAACAGTTCGAATGATCCAATTCCATCCAAATTTCAATGAAAACTCATTCAAATAGATAATTTCGTAGGAATTTTTGTTGAAATCCTTCCAACAGAAAACTATACCATTGCAATATCCGTTAGAATTTGCATTGTAATAGATTACCCTAAGATTTTTCATTGGAATATGACATTTTTATTTTAGCGAATGGGTTGATATTTCTTTAATTCTATTGATAATATTGAAAATAGTAGGATTGAATTAAAGTTGAGTTAGATTTTGAATATAAATTTGAGCATGCTGGTTACAAAAATTTTATAAACAAATTATCTTGGTAAGAATGACATGCCCATACCACCATATTCCTTTTTTTTTTCAAACGGTAGAATTCTCATAAATAAGAAACCAGCATACAAAGTGCAAAGGTCTGAACATAACAAGAAAACAAGAACCAAAACAACAACTACAAACTAAAACTACAGCCGGGAGATGAGAGAACCACACCAATGGTGGCCTAGAACCCAACTAACATAACAAGAGCACACTAACAACACTAACAACACCCACTTGAATCAAGGCAGTTACAGAAGGGACCCTTGACTCCAATAGGAAAAGAGAAAAGAGAAAGAAGAAAAAACAGAAACTAGATCAAAGACCCAAAAGAAAAACTACACATCAAGGCCTGGTCAATCTACTTGTTTTGAAGAACAACCAATCTTGGTAAGCCGCTTTGACAATGTATTGAGCATGCCTTCTACTCTTCTCAAACAACCACAAATTATGGGTTTTCCAGAGCCACCAGAGTATGTAGGTTGATAATTGGATCCTTGCCTCTGATGTCTCTGACTTGTCCAACTGGCAAATGGACCACCACCAATTCTAGAAAGATGCATCACCCTGATGCTCTTCCCATTGAACAGGGGAGAGTTTCTAGACTAGCTTAGCAAGACGGCAATGAAAAAACAAGTGCTCAACATCTCAATATCTTCACCACAAGAACCACATATGCCATCTATTGTAAAACCTCTAGCTAGCATGTTCCGATTCACAGGGAGAGTGCCATTACAAC